TACCGCGCCCCTCCCGCTGACGCGGTGCCTGCGCGTGCGCGGTGCCGGTGCCGGTGGATCCGCGTCCGGCGGCGGCCCCGCCGCCCGGCCAGGCCCGGCTTCCCCCGGCGTGCCCCGCCCTGCCCCGCGGCCCCTCGCCCATCATGTTGGTGCCCGTGTTCACGCTGAAGCTCAAGCACAAGATCCTGCCCCGCATGGTGGCGCTGGGCCGGTACGACGGGACGCACCCCTGCCTGGCGGCCGCCACGCAGGCGGGCAAGGTAACGGGGCAGGAGCAGCCCCGGCGGCTGCGGCGCGGCCTGGCCCGGCCCAGCAGCCCCGGTGGCCGCCGTGGAAGCTGAGCTAACCCCCGCCAGCTCCCTGCGCCAGGGCTGAGCCGAGCCAGGAGCTGGGGGCTCGTTCCCCTCACCCTCCGCAGGCCCAGGCCCCCGAGCTGCGTGCGGGCACGGGGGCGCGGTGCTCGAAGCCTCGCTCTGCTGCGGCGGGGAGCTTGCAAAGGTTGATAGCAGGTGGCGAAGTTGAGCGGTAGCAGAGGTGCCTAGAGAAGCTGCGGGGTCTCCAGCCCTGGGGATATTCAAAAGCTCTCTAGACACGATCTGGAGTAACACGCTCTAGGGGACTGTGTTGGAGCAGGAGGTTGGACTCAGTGACTTCTGTGGCATCTGCCAGCCCGAACCACTTTACAAACCCAAGTCGCCAAGTAAACTCAGGTTTTCTAGCAGACAACGGGATTTTTTGAAGCCGTGGGTTTTATAATGGAGTTTTCAGAGGAACTCAGCCTTAGCACTGTTACAAACCAAGCTCTGTGCTGATAACGGGGCTGAGGTTTCTGTGGGTGATGCACAAACAGCCTGACGGGAACAGAGAGCATCCTGTGTGCTCTGAGTTAGAAACATAAACAAAACAGGATTGAGTACAACCTGACTAATAAAGCATAGGTTGAAGCATAAACCCACAGAAGCACTTAAGTTGGAAATACAAACAGGTTCATCTGTGATGTTTCCCAGCGTTATTAATTTTATTTCGGCACCTTTAGGAACAGCACAGAACAAGGGCTTGTCTGAGGGACAGACTACAGAGCCAAAAACCAAACTGTTGAGCCTGTGATCCTCTGACTTGGCTCCAGGCAATTACAGTGTCTGAGTATTGGTCAGTGAGAGTAAAACCATATTTATCATTCATCCTGTTTAAATTAACCACGTTCACCTACAGATGGAGGTTACAGATATGTACCAGGTAAATTGTCCTAAATGTTTGGGCTGTTTTGCACATACTGCTACCAGCTGGAGGTAATTTGTTTAGTTTGTTGTTGCTCCGTTTGGTTTCCTATTTTTGCCTTACTCGGAAGACTTGTCAGTTGTCATTTTCAGAAACAAACAGAACAATGATGTTGCAACTCCACTGGCCAGAGCACTGCTTTTCGTGCCATTTCCCTTTTTCTAGTATAGTTTAAAGAATAACTGTGAGAAATACTATTGTCTGTAAACCCCCAGTCTTTTGTCCTCATTTAGGTTAAGGGAATGCCTTCTTCCCATTGCAGTTATTATCCAAACAACAGTCTTTACTATTTGTATACAAACAGATACATGTGTTGTATTAATATTTATATCTTTGTTTCTACAGGTTTTTATTCACAATCCTCATGCCCGAGGGCAGAGAACAAACACAAACCGAATGGTACAAAGTAACCAAGATTCAGACATTTCTCTTCTGAACATTAATCAAGGGATCACTTGTCTGACTTCGGGAGTGCTGAACCCTCAGCTGGGTTATGATTGTCTTCTGGTTGGAACACAGACTAATTTATTGGCTTATGATGTGTATAACAACTCAAGTTCATTTAACTGTTTTTTTTAGTATCACCATAATTTTCTGTTTCTTGGAATTGTAAAGATTACAGGTTTTCCATTACTTTGTCAATTAATTATGTGTCTGTGCTATGCATTATTTCTACTGCTATATTCAGGACATTTTGTCTCTAGAATATCTGCAGTATTTCAAAATTAATATATGAAAATTTACTCTCACATATACAGATATACATTGCATTCATATGTCACATAATGTAGCAGACCAATTTTTAAAAAAATAATAGGCATTCAGAGCTCAGCTAAACTGACAGTAATAATGTTGGAAGCTCTCTTCTTCATTTGTGTGCTCTGATGTATTATTGTCTGCTGCTTGTTTTTTCTTTAATGCTTCTCTGTAGGTTTCAGATGGAGCCAATGCAATAGTTCTTGGAAAGCTGGGAGATATTTCACCTCCACTTGCTATTGTTGGTGGAAACTGTGCCCTACAGGGCTTTGATTATGAAGGAAATGACTGTTTTTGGACGGTAAGGCCATGCATAATAGTTTTGATATTATTAGAAGATTCTTTCAGTGGCACTAAATAGTCTTGTTTTTTTTTAATATGATAACTGTTAATTTAGTTGTTGATTGTTCTCAGTTTATCTCAGACATAAACTGTGTTTTGGCCATGTATTCAGTGCACTCAGATGTTGCTTGAGCACTGATTGTGTCAATTGTTCTGTTGCAGTTGAGAAAATAAAAATAATCCAGCTTCTGACAGCTATGACCATCACTGAGTACTGTCCTTCCCTTTGCAGGTTACTGGAGACAATGTTCGTTCATTAGCACTGTGTGACTTTGATGATGATGGGAAAACTGAGGTTTGTGACCATTTACACATGAATTCAGCTGTCTTTGTGGTCTTGTAGTGAAATGATAATAAAAAAAACTTAGATTATCGAATACAACTTACATCACCAGTTAAAGGTTCTCATTTTTCTTTGCACCAGGAGCAATACAATGAAATGCCTGTCATCATCAGTTGCAAGGCATCTGTTTCCATGGTATTTCTTGAATATGGTTATGAGCTCTTTTAAATTTCAGAGAAACAACTTGCAAGCTTACATGTAAAAGTGAACTTTCAAAAAGCTATTCGTTTGAAAAGCTTCACTTACACTTGGTAAAATCAAGAAATCTGTCTTCACATCCACCCCTTCTGTTTCCTTAAAGTAACATGGGGAAATGAAATACTCTTTGCTTTGCTGATTTAAAATGACAATGACTTGTAACACACATCTTGCTGATAATGATGTGAGACAAACAATAGAAAACAGCTGCCATTCTGATCATGCAGCCTGCAAGAGATGGGTGAAATTGTGAATTTGTATGGCATTCTCTTTTGGAAACGTTTCTTTATCCCAAATGAACAACTGTGCTTCTAAATATGAATCCTTAAGAAGAGTAATGGCTTCCTAGTATACATCAGATGCAAATCAATATGAAGTTAAATCATTATGCTAAAAATACTTACTTTTGTCATCTGTCTTAAGACTTTAAACATAATTACTTGAGCTTCTTTGTTTAGTTCCTGAAAAATCCTCATTTGGAATATCCAATTGGACTACGTAATAGTGATGTGGAAAGGGCCTCAACAGTTTTCATGTGTTTTTTATAAGCACTAAACTGATACACAGTCTTCTTGATTGGGATCTTTAGGAAGTGAAATGGTTTCAGGTTTTCAAATCAATTTCTGCACAGCTCCTCTGTATTTTTTTAATGTGCTAAGAGGTGTTTATAAAAAGTGGAGACAGCATATAAAGATTCAGAAACCAGGAAACTGATCTGTGGCACTAATTGCAAATAGTTTGCACTTGTGCTTTTAAGTGGGTTTTGCTGTATTATTCTGCCTGATGGAAGTTCATTCTCAGCAGTTAGTGCAATCTGGTGCTACTTTGAGCTGAATAGAGCTGGATACAATATCTGACTAACTGGTTGGGCCAGTTATCCTAACATGCATTTACTGAGGTATTTTCAGAGTTCTTTTTGATCTTAATTATCTAGGTGATTTTAAAGAGTTTTAACTTATTTATTTACTTTTATTTGTGGCTTTTGTGAAATTGCCTCTGGTTTAAATCTTGAAGTTCTGAGAAAATGCACAGAAGCAGCTTCCTAAATTATCACTTTGTGTCTTACTTGGTAAATTACTGTGCTAGCTTCATTTCTGTTCTTTCTGCCCCAGTAAAAACGTGTTTACATTAAAATTGACCGATTTGAAAGCTGCATAAATATACTTCTAGTAGCTAACAGAACTAACTTGTTGCTGTCTTCCTCAGGGTTTTTAGATTGATGAAAGTTACTTTCTGCCATATTGCAAAAGACTTGTGGGGCAGAACTTTGACTTGCTCTTTCAAATTTCTGTCTAGTGGAATGAAAGTCACTGAAGTGGGTGTGGTGAATCAAACGAACAAAAAAAAAATCTAGGCACCTCTGGAAAATACAGCATCACCAGTAATTGTTTCAGGATTGTGTGTTTTTACATGGTTGTCTTTTGCTGGTGGTTGCAACTTGGTCAAGAAATCTGTGCTTCTTAAATATGTTAACTGTTGCAAATAATTTCAGTAGCTGCAGTAGACTTAGCTTGGTGTGTTTTAGGTTGACATAATCTGAAGCATCTTTACTTGGGAAAAAAAAAGCCTTTAATCTTTTTAAAAATCTAACTTTGTTATGGATTTGTATCTCTTTGGCCAAGCAATGATGAAAGGCTCAATGGGGAGAAGTACTACCAGGTTTTAGACTTTGATTTGTAACTCTGTCATTGATCTGATGGATGACTTTATCGACAAGGCACAGAGCACATCTGTTCCTTGGTTTCTTAATTTGCAAAAGAGAACCTCCCAATTGTCACCATCTTCAGTATGAGCTTTTCCACTGGGCTCCTTTCCAGTTAATGCCTTCTACCTGGTGAATTAGGAAACAGGAAAAGAACTAAAATGTAGGAAATATTAAGGAGCGAGGATGTAGAAGACCCAATTCAATCCCTATTGGTATCATAATTTACATCAAGATAAAGCTGATTTTACTCCTGCTTTGCAGCAGTGGCAGCCACCACTTAGGTCGGAGGACCAGATGTGACTGATAGTTGGATTCATTGGGGTTTATTTGTTTGTTTTGGGGGTTTTTTTGTGTATGTTTGTTGATTGTATTTTTTTTTAAAGTGCGGGATCTTCAGTGCAACATTGGCAACATTTCATAGATCTGTTAAAACCTCTTAATTGCTGGACTTGAAATATTAATTCTTCCTGTGGATCCTGGTGCTTGCTTCCTTAGCTTGAATAATTATTTTTAAGGAATACTATTATTTTTCAGCTTCTTGTTGGCTCTGAAGATTTTGACATCCGTGTGTTTAAAGAAGATGAGATTGTAGCAGAAATGTCAGAGACAGAGGTAAATTATTTCTGGCTAATATTTATTATCTTGCTGACAGAGCTGAAAGTGTGTACGCTAAAGCTTCTCTGGTTCAGATTTATTGTGTAGTTAAGTAGTTACTAAACTATTTGGCACAGTATCTATTCTGCTTGAACTGCAGAAGTTCGAGTTTAATAATGTCTTTCATTATGCAAGGGGCTTTTTGCTTTGTTTATTTACAAACCTTTCACCCCACTAAGAAAAGTGACTATTCTTGGCTGACAGTCAGGACCCTGTGCAAGGATGATTAAGGTTGCTGGTTTGTGATTGAAGTTTTTAATATCCTCTGAGTAAAAGGACGTCTTCTATAGTTCTCCTCAAATGTTCTTGTGATTATGATGATGTAACTTATCCCTGTGTGTATACCCAGACAGTGCATGGCAGGGTAGAAGGGGAATGCCCAGGCAAAAATGGAAGATTATATTGCAAACGAGGTTACACATTGGCTATATAAAAAGAGCTGTGGTGACTAAAGTAAGGAATGGGGCAGATAGGTTTACAGAGGGATAAATAGAAGGTGTAGGAGTTGCTATTTAGGTTAAGAGCTGAGAGAAGATGCCCACTGATTTTGTTTTTTGGGAAGGGAGTAAAATATCCTTATCACTGCATTTAGAAGTGTTCTCACAGCCCTGCTGGATCCAAGGTAGAGGAAGGTCAAGGACCTTTGTCCTTAAAGATCTGAGGCCTCCTCACTGCCCAAGATGGGACTAAAAGGCTTAGCTAATAAACCACTTATGAAGAGCTATAAAAGACAAAGCCAGGCACTGTTCTGGAAAAGGAGGTTGTTACAATTAGAACTGGGCCTGTAATATGTCCTGCTTTCTGTGCAGTGGCTAGTCTGGTCATTAGATACTTCTAGTTGAAGGGATGCTAAAGATCTGTCACTCTCAAGTGTGATTTATTTCCAGATCCTCAGTAGAATTGTTTCAAATTCACACCTGCAGTCATAGGAGGCCTGTTACAATTCTACTGTTCGAATATAAAAGGACACAGCTGAACCTAAACATTTCTTTTTAGGAAGGTGAATTCAAGGAACAGTGTCTTTGTACATTATGTTTGGTTTGGAAGTCTTGGGTAGTTTTCATTTTCTGTGTTTAATCACTTACTCTGGTGAAGCTGAAGCTGTAGACTGTTGAGATTCTTATAAATGGACAATAAATTTGGGTTTATTGTTACCTTTGAGTTTCTGACTGTTGCTGTGGTCTTCTGTCCTTACCGGCTGCTTGTAATTTAGTTTGATACTTAGGAAAAGGCTCTGCAGAAGACTGAGAGAGGAAAAGATAAAGGGTTTGGAAACAAAGTTTTATGTTAAAACATCCAAGGAGCACAGTCAGATGAGTTTACATAAGAAGTTGGGGAAGAATTTAATTGAAGGAAGTCTCCTGTACTATATTGTACAGAAGACCAGACAGATGATTGCAAGTGTTCCTCCTGACATTAAAATCTCTAGTCTCAGTGTGTGGAAAAACCTGCATTTTGAAACCCTGAGAACCTTAGCTCAATAAGGAATGGGTCTTAAAAGGAGTGAGAAACAGGCCAAGTTATGACTCTCAGGTCTCCCCAGAGCTTATTCAGGTAGGACACCTAGCCTGGTGTTCCACCTGTGTTCCAAAGAAGTCCCACCGTGGGAGTTTTTAATTTTTATCTTAATAGTACTGGGCAAAGATTTTCTACCGATAGTGTCTCCAGGGCTTTCCTAACCCAAAGTTGAACCTTTGTCATCATCAACTCCTTAAGGAATATTGTGTGTAGTTTCTCAATGATAGTGTGTTAGCACTGATGACCACAGGAATTCTATGAGCAGTTGTTTTGCTGTCTGTGGTAGGAAATAGTTGGTCAGAGTACACAGTTTGAGGGCAGTTCTGCAATCCTTGCTGAAATGTGTTCTAACACTGGCAATGCAGCTTGTGTGAGGAAATCCTACAAGGCCTTCAGTGATTTCAGACTGATTCTTAGAAGTAGTTATTTCGGTATTCAATGCTTCCTACAACAGACTTACTTGCCATTTAAGAAATGTAGGATTCATGTGATAGCTCTATGGCCTGTTCCCACAAGTTCTCACTCCTATATCCTCTCTGTCCCTCCTTTCCCCCCCAGACTGTCACTGCACTTAGCCCCATGAATGGCAGTCGCTTTGCCTACGCTCTTGCCAATGGCACTGTGGGAGTTTACAACAAGTCAGCACGCTACTGGAGGATTAAGGTTAGTCCACTGTTGGAGTATCATCACTGGAAGCTTGAAGGCTGCCAGGAGACTTGGTATCTAATTTCAGGTCGTTCTGATGTTACCCTTAGGTGAACTTTGCTGAGCAGAGAACTTAATGTAATTTTGTTCTTACAAAATCCACCTGTTTTTATAGGTTCATATAATATACCAGGTCAGTTCCTGCAGTACTTTTGGTGGTGGCTTAAACAACAAGGATACAACCATACAATTAGGGATTCTTAATGTGATTCTCTTCTCTTAACAAGAGACATTCGAGTTGTGTTAGAAAATCCTCTGATTGAATCAATAAAGTGTTTATCAGAAACTGAAATCTTGCATTGTCTATGTTCAAGGTTAATTTTTCTCATCAATAGCAATTTTCCTGCTCCAGCAAATCAGTTTGGCTAGATCCATTCCTGATTGTAATATTCTTAATATAAAACAGTATAGTATATTTAATAGTAATAAGAAGATTCCTCAGGAGGTAGCAGGAAGAGGCTCATGGTTGTCCTCAGTAGTCTAATTTTTTGACAGTGTTGAGGCCTTGTAACTTTTTCCTACAGGATTTGGTTTTTTACACTTTGCTTTTGTGCCTTCTAATCATCTGCTTGGATGGAAATGTTTTTAAAGGAACGATCAGATAATTTGAAAGCAGTGCACTAGATAGTAGTGCAGGGGGCTAAGATGTCACATGTGTCTGTGACCTTAGAAATGGTAATACTCAAAGTTCCTGTTAAGAAGCATAGTTGTATTCCTTTGTGTACTCTCGGTAGTCTCCTAGTCCAGTGTTTTGCAAGTGGCAAGCATGTAAAGTTTAGAGAACATACCCAAGCTTAATTTGTTCTTTCTTTTCTGCCCTCAGTCAAAAAACCAGGCAATGAGCATACATGCATTTGACCTGAACTCTGATGGAGTGTGTGAGTTGATCACTGGCTGGTCTAATGGCAAGGTGAGTTTATACAGGGGGAAAATGAGGAGCTGTAGCTATGGGGGCTGTGTTAGGTTACCTGAAGAACAAGAACCAAACAATGAAAAAGACTTAGAAATCTGAGCACTGCAGATTTATTCCAATAAAAACCTAGTTTGGCTGGTGAGTGCTGTGCCAAGTACAAGATCAGAGAAAAGCTGCTTCCCCTGCTTAGCTCAGAGTCAATTGCTAAGGTGTGGCAAGTTGTTTCCATGGCAGCAGAGATCATATGCCACATCCTAGAGTTCTTGAGTGTCTCTATTTCAGGTGTGTCTTGAGGACACTGATAATCCTCTGCTGTGTGTTCTGAATGTTCCCAAACTTCAGCGAAGACAAAGCAGTTATGTAACAGCAGAGCAGCGTCAGTCTTGACTGTGGCAGGATTAATCGAGCATTATTTCATTTTTTGTGGAGGCATTCTATACAGCTCAGTTTTAGTTTTTAAGCCTGTTCCTTGGTATTCCCCTTTCCCAGAAATGACTGTTGTAACTGCCACATCTCTCCTGGATGTAACTTGCCAGGTTTTTCTGTAAAGCTGTGCTTTTTTCTTCACACCTCTCATTACTCTAATTAGCCTGCGGCACTTCAATAACTTCATATCAAGCTGGCAGGCTGGAGCCCAGATGTGTTGTAACTTACCCTGGATTAGATGTGTAACACTGTTAGAGAGCCTCTCCTTCCTTTGCTCCTATTCTTTTCCAGTGGTGGTCTCTACCCAATTTGTTGGTCTGAAATAGTCCATAGGTCCTAGAAAGAGTAATGCTGTGACCTGTGCTTTGGAAAATACACAGTGCATGGGAACTGAGCCCACCTCACCCTTCTTATCAAATGAAAGATAATTGAAGGTTGTGGTATTTGTGTATAAAAATAATTCACCGCACAAGAGCTGCAGCCGAGAGGAGAGGTTGTAAATACTGCATTAAAGTTATTTCTGGTTTAGTCCCATCATTGCTGCATCATATGTGCATAACCTTTCCAGTGCAGACTTGCAGTCCCTTTTATTTCCTTCCTTTTATAGTTTTGTAACTTAGGGAAGCACCTCTGAAGAGAAGTTCCTTCTGGCTCCTTCTAGAGTCTGCCTAGAGGTCATTTCTTGATAGTACTTTTTTCATGGGTGGTGTTTGGATGAGCAGAGCTGCAACTTCACCTGCAGTTCTGTGAGCAGAGCTGGCTTTCAGTTAACAGCTCAGGGTAGGGCATGACATGTGTTTTGGAGTTGGCTTTTCTCTTCATGCTGAGGCTTGGAACTTTTTGTTGTTCCAGGTTGATGCACGCAGTGACCGGACTGGGGAGGTCATCTTTAAAGATAACTTTGCTTCCTCGATTGCAGGACTGGTGGAGGGGGATTACAGAATGGATGGGAGCACCCAGTTAATCTGCTGCTCAATTGATGGTGAAGGTAAAAGCATTGTTCAAGATATTAATGTAATACACAGCAATATCAGGCACATCACATCATCTCAGATTAGCTAAACGTGGTTTTGGTTCCAACGTTTTGTGTGCCAAATTCCCTTTGCTTTATGTGCAGTTAAGGGAATTTTGAGTTACTCTATCTGCAAACAGGATTTTGAATATTGCCTTCTCTGTGAGAATCAGCATGTGTTTCATTATGATCCAAGAAACCATCAAAATTCATTTGTCTAATGGAAGAAACCCCATCCTAATGCAAAGATAATGATATTCAGTACAGACTCTGGTTCTTCAGGCTACATTATAATAGATGAATGTAGAGGAAATCTTTTTTTCTGTTTTAATTCTTTGGCCACTTTACTGTAGGTAAAGGTGTTTAAAGAACTAAGGGTGTGTGTGTTTTGGTTTTCTTCTGCAGATGAAGAGTTTTTATATTAGAAATTTTAGATGTTAACAGTGCTTTGTTTCCTGGAAAATGCTATCCTGAGACTGGAGAAGTGGTGGATTTGTCCCACCATGCGTTCAAGAAGTCAGACCTCATTATTGTGAGTGGAAATAAATGTGATCACAGATGATTTAAATAAGCTCAGTATAAATTTACAGGGATGGCTTCAGGAAAGACACTGGTGTGATTATCCGACTCTTTGGCGTCAGTGGCCTGAGACAAGCAGGTCTGGCACAACCCATTTGAAACAAAAGCCTGTCCTTGTTAAATACTAGAGCGTTTTGCTGTCTGTCTTAATCACAGGCTGTGGGGATTTGCTGCACTTGGGCTTCAGCTTATAAACCTTTTTCCCAAGCTTACTGAAGGGGAACATTGTAAGCAGTTCTAGAGAACCTTGTCCTAGCAGAGTTGTATAGGTTGGTATCACTGAACACGATCATCCTTTTCTGATGGGTCCATTGTAAACAAGCCTTGGCATGATGGGGATCCCTTTAGGCCTTAGTAATTAGTGTAGCTGGGGTTATATAGACAATGTTATTAGAGTTCTGTTTGGGACCAGCATCCTTTCACATGAGGTGTTCTCCTGTGTTGCAGTGGTTTTTGTCTTGCACTCATTTTAAATGAATGATTCACTCAGAAATAATAAAATCCTTTCATTGGAGGACAGTGTGCAAAGCTGAATGATTTCAAGTTCCATGCAACTTTTTACAGGGCAGCAGTCATTTTCAGTCAGGCAGCATGTTCTTCCAAGGTAAAAGATTTTTGTCCCTGGCTTTCATTGTCAGAGTTGCAATCAGGGCACGCAGCCTTAGAGCAAAATGAAAGTTGTCTTATCACCTGTTCAGGTCCTCTGTCTCCACAGACAGAGGTGTTTCCATAACTGTGCTCCACTGGGCTACTGGGGAACAAGTCTTACCCCTTGAAGTGAAGTATTCCTTGATTTTGGGAAAAACTATGTGGGTAAATCTTGTTTACTGGTTAATGAACAGTGACTTAGAGTCACTTCCAGACAGCAACAACTCCTCTGACCAGCTCTAGAAATCCAGGTACACGTTTTATTAATTTTGCATAATTGTAAACTTGCCTAAGCGCCTGAAAGAATGATTGCAGTGGGAATCCTCTTGCAAAAGGACTGGGTGCTGCACTTGTCTGGTCAGGTGAGTACAGCTTAGACAGGTTGGAAATTAATTTTTTTTTTTTTTTTTTTAATGTGCAGTTCTCTTGCCCCAGTCACCAAGAAGGTGAGAGCCTCTGAAGGTCTAAATCCATTCTCAGGTTTTCAGCTGAATAGTACTTGCTGAAGACTAGAACTGCAGAGGTGGTACAAGGGAGTCATGTCACAGAAACTGAAGTTCTGGGCAGGCTGTTGAAGTCTTTGCTGAAATGGACTATGTTTTGTTTTTGTACAGTCCGAGGCTATCTGCCAGGAGGTGAAGAAATGAAAGGGAACCTAATGGATACAGGTGCTGAACAGGATCTTATCCGAGAACTTAGTCAAAAGAAACAAAATCTGCTGCTGGAATTGAAAAATTATGAGGAAAATGCAAAGGTACTGCTTAAATAATGTGTAAGGCCAAAACACACCTTTCTGTTGGTATAAATCCAGAATCTGGGAAGCAGTTGTGGGGCAGTCCAGACAAGTCAGAGCTGTAACTTGTCAGGATGCAGTGAGATTGTCTGCTGGGGGCTCCTGCCTCTGCATTTGGCTTGCTCCTTGTGCAAGTTCAGAACTTGCTTTTTGTATTTTAATAATGCCTTCTTTGCTTCTTCCTCTTGCCAGAGCAGTTGTGTTTAGAGCTGGGTTCCTTTGAGCCTTGTGCTTTGGCTTTTGACTGCAAATTGTAGTTTTCAGTGCCTAAGCCAGCTTGGGAATCAGAGGGGATTGTGTGAGAGGATCAGGTCACTGGGTGAGGGCTGGGAGCACTGCCAGCTTGAATCACACTTGTGGCTTGATGGTGTACATTTCAAAAAATAGTCTGAGGAAAGAGAAAACTCATATATGTACAGCAAAGCTTGGAATTCTGTAAGATTGTGTTTAAAATATAAATATGTTAAGTGTTTTTTGAGTTAGGGTTTGCATATAGATCTGAGTCCATCCATGGTAAAGCACTCAAACACATTGTAGTTCAAGTATCCACAGCTCTGTGCCTAATCCAGCCACCACTCATAGCTAGTTGGAAGTGTCTGGGAATTGCTGTAATGCAACTTTCTTCTGAATGAAAAGAGACTGACTTGTGCATATGTTTTCTAGGTTTTTTGAATGAAAATCTTGAAATTTTGATACTGACAGCTATGTGTATCGTAACAGGCTGAATCGAACACTCAGCTGAAGGAAGCTGATGGGCAGAGAGGTGTGATTCCAGCAAACACTCAACTCCAGACAACCCTCTCAGTTAATCTGGGCTCTGACAGCCAGTCTGCCCATGTGGAGCTGTGTATTTCCACCACAAACGGTGAGTGGTAAATATTCACTTCATGTAAAATCATGCAAATCTTTAGTTATATTTAGCTGGTGATTTGACTGTCTCCCCTTTATTGTCTGTAACGTCCCTTTAGTGGTTTCTTTCCTTTCACAGAGTTTTGAATCAAGCTGTGTTCCTTGGATGGGTCTTAGGGGAGAGGAGTTTGATGGAATTTGTTTCTTATTGTATGTTATTTTCTGAGGCAATTAACATTTAACTTGGATGAAACCAGCCTTGGCGATCCCTGCAGCGTTTCGTGTTGACTGTAAACACCAGCCCACAGCTGCATTAGTGAGGGTGTTGCATGAATGCAGCTGGATCTCAGCTGACTTTACATGCAAAACTGGAACTACCCCAAGACAGCAAATTGCACTAGGCATGCTAGGATGCAGTCCAGTCCAGATGTGGTAGTCCTGGTCACCTGGGATATTTTAACAATTCAGAGGAGGGATGTAAGGAGTTGAACATACTTAATTCTGAAAACAGTAGCAGTTTATTGCCAGAGGACAGCTTTTAATTTGGGAACTGCTTTTTCTTCCTATTATTAAGACACAATCATCCGTGCTGTGCTGATCTTTGCTGAGGGCATATTTGAAGGAGAGAGCCATGTGGTCCACCCCAGTCTCCAGAACCTCTCAGGCTGTGTTCGTGTTCCCCTTACTCCACCCAAGGATGTCCCTGTGGATTTGCACATCAAAGCCTTTGTGGGTTACCGGAACAGGTGAGTTTTGTGGTGTGATCTCTGCTGGTCTCCAGAACTGTGGGACCAGGAAACAGCAATAATGTGGTTTCATGCTTGTCCCATGGGAAGTCCACCATTAATTCCTGGGTGCCTCATTGCTCTCTCTTACTGAAAGGAGAGCTGGGATACTTTCTTAAAACCACTGATGCACCTGTGGCACCGAGTTCTTTTCCAGACGAAGTCTAAATAATCTGGAATCACTGTGATCTGTTGTGTTCTGGTTCTGCCTTTGGGAAAGGAATGCACGTTTGTCCAGGAGATGTCTGTGCGTGTGTGGAGGGAATCAAGAGGTGAAGAAACTCTATCCTGTCATCCCCAAGGGGCTGAGAGCTTCTTGATGGTGGCTGCTCTGGATGGAGTACTTGAGCAAGCCTGGAGACACAGCTTTGTCTCTCAAGCTATAAAGTAACCTTGAACACATTTGGCTTCAGAGCAAAGAGAAAGTAACACATGCTTGATGTCAAGACAACATTTTTCCAGTCTCCCATAGAAATAGCTCTCCACAGAAAATAAAATCTCTTCATATGCCCTTAAAAACAGCTTTCTTCCTGCTCACATCTGCCAGAGCTGTTGGTGCCTGAGGAGGTGGCATTCTTTCCCTGAACAGAGAGGCATATTTTGAGAGCTAGCCACCCACTGCAGAAAGACTGTATGGGACTGAATTCCCTTTCTGTTTTCTCTATTTGCCTTTCTTGTTGCTTTTAATAAGACTTCACTGAACTTGTAAAGAAAATACCCAATCATATAGTAAAATTGTAAATGTATTAGCCTGGAGAGTATACTTCAGTGGAAGAATTATTGAAAATGACAGCGGTGGGGAGGAATCATACAACCTCGTGATAAACCTGGAATTTCCAAGTTTTTGTTTCTTCCAGGGAAGCAGTAAGCAGATGATTATGTGACTGGAAACTGTGGGTGTCAGTCCGCAGCTAAAAAAGACCCAGAAACCATTGCAATAGGTGAATCCCTGCTGTGTTACTAACTGTTTTTCCATTTGTTTGCTTCCAGCACACAGTTCCACGTATTTGAGTTGACAAGACAGCTTCCCCGCTTTTCCATGTATGCCCTGAGCAGCCCAGACTCAGCCACAGAGCCCCTGAGCTTTGTTAACTGTACTATGAATGAGAGACCACAAAGGGTGAGTTTCTGCTCTTCTTCCTGGTTTCAAGTCTTGCATGGGTGGAAAATTTGCAATCCACTTGAGATTTCCAGTAGCAGAGGAAAAATTATGCACTACTGGCCTTTGGAATCTGTGTATTTCAGATCAACTCTGCTTTTTTCTGTCTTTAAAAGAAGTCTCAATTGAGGCATTCCCAGCGTCAGGAATTCCTGCATGAACTAAAGGCCTGAGATCAGAAGGTGTTTCAGATATTATCTTGGTTCACTGTGTGCCTGCTGATAGCAGGAGACCTGTAGTGAGTGTTGAATTTTGTAAATGAGCAGAGAACAGGAAAAAGGCAGTACAGTGCTCAGGTAGTAACTGAGTTTTGTAGCAGTCTCTGATTGTTGGATTTGATTATTTTAGGAATATTCAGTTTTGGTGCAAGGATTCAACTGTCCTCATTCTAACACGTTCATGACATGGGGTTATGGGATAGAATTTGGTCAATTAAATTTCTGGGGTACCCTGAACAGAGTGTTCTGGTGCACATCATGTGCAGGGACATTGTGTGGTTCCTGAGGCTTTCAACACAAGAGGTGGCTGATGCTCTTAATTTTATTTTTGCAAGATCGTTATGTGGCTGAATCAGAGCTTCTTGCTGCCAGAGGATGCAGAGTTTCAGAATGCTCCCTTTCAGGTTTGCTTCACTTCCCTTCGTAATGCAGGTCAGCTCTGCATCAAAATCAAGCCTGGTGGAGAGGTGAGTACCTCCCTGGACAAGGGAAACAGCCCTTTAATGATACTCCAGTAAAACCAGTTTACCCATACTGCCAGTAGGAGTGAAAGTGGAGGATGACTAAACAGGCAGAGAAGGTACTCATGCTTTTGGAAACTTCTGTGTCTGTTTACTGTTGGTGGGTAAAATTCCAGGGCCCGTTAATGAAGTAAACTGCTTAGCCTGTGGCTTTGTAGGAAGGAGAGAAATTATTTCCTCGCAGAATGGTTTCAGGGAGCCATAATGTGAGTTACAAGGCTGCCTGTAACTTCTGCACTGGTCCTGTGTGCACAGATGCCTCTCTATCCCAAACCTGAAAAAAAGCCCCTTTGAAATCGGTGTTTTCTTGTCTACTGAAAGCTGTTGAGCTTTCCCATGCCCTCTTGATAAAGAGGCTTTGAGCCTGGGCTTTCTTTCCTTTCTGACAGATTTCCGTCAACACAGATGATATTGATCTAGCTGGTGACATTATCCAGTCAATGGCTTCTTTCCTGGCCATTGAAGATTTGCAGGTGGAAGCAGATTTTCCTGCATACTTTGAGGAGCTGCGGAAAGTATTGGTGAAGGTGAGGAAGCTTCAGACATTTCTAAGTAGGCAGATAAGCAGTCACGGGGTTTTTTAATGAGAGGATCTCTAAACTGCATTATCTTTGTTGTGGAAATCAGCCCACAGTGGCTTGCTGTATATTCTGTGGGACACTCTCAACTGTCTGTTTTTGTTCTGTAAACAGGTCCTTGGTCTCATCAGTTGGTTGTTTAGGATAAAGTAAATATGTTGTCTGGGAGACTGAGCTTTAGGTTTGAGTCATCATGCTCACCCCCCTTTGGGGGGTGGTGAGTTACTGCTCCTACAGTGGGGGAGTGAGGGGAAGGAGAACAGTGTCAGGGATGCTGGTTGGTTAGGTTGGGATGTTATTTCCTACTGCACTGGGCTGAGGTTTAGCCTGAACCCTTGTGTGCCCAGGGTGCCAAGGACCCTTGTTCATTACTTGCTTGCCTTGGACAGGTGGATGAGCACCATGCAGTGAATCAGAGGCTCACTGCTGACATGGCTGAACACTCCAACCTCATCCGCAGCATGCTGGTTCAGGCGGAAGATGCCAGGCTCCTGGGAGACTTGTGAGCAATTGCTTTCTGGTTTGTGTGTTTGGGGTTTAGAATGGCCAGTCTTTGTTTTGCAGGCAGAAAAGAACACATAAAAACATTGGTGTGATACAAGAGTTGCCTAGTTATGATTTTTGATGTAGAATTATACCTTTGATGGTCTCACCGTGAGCTCTCCTTGAACCTTGTCAGGTTCTTTAGGTGGGAAACCAGTCAGGGGAAGGCAAGAGGGCAAGGGTAGGGGCTTAGTGTATAGCAGGGGAGGTGAATCTACATCAAGATGGTGAGATATGTTAGATAGCTTTTCCTGCCTTCTTCCCTTACTATATCTGTGTTGTGCGTACTTTTGAGAACACCAAGAAAGACATTTTAGATGTCAGGTTTTCACTCTGATTTGGTGTTTTCTGCTAATGCTGAGCTTTACTCTGAAGAGCAGCAGTAAAGAGGCCCAAGCTACTGCAGGGCAGTGATACTTTGACTGGGGAAAGTGACGTTTCCCCTTTGTCTTTCTGGATAAAGTAACTGCAAAAATAGACTGTTCAGGTTTTTTAGTAAAATAATGAGTATAACCAACACATCTAGACAAGTCTGTTAAGTCTGTTGTCTGTTAGGTGGAAGACATGGAGGTGGCTGTGCTGGCCAACACAACCATGTGTTGCTACACCTTTATATTGACAATCCAGGAATGACTTTCCTCAGAGATGCAAATAACTGGACTGATTTTTCCACAGGAAAAACATGAAGACACGGTACAGCGAGCTGTACGACCTGAACAGAGATTTAATAAATCAATACAAAATTCGTTGCAACAATCACACAGAGCTATTGAATAATCTGAAAGCTGTGAATCAGGCAATCCAAAGGGCTGGGCGGTTACGTGGTAAGTCTGTGTTTTTGAAAGCAAAGCAGAATCTTAGACCCCCAGTGAGGCACATAAGATGTGTCCCAGAGGCCACCTGTGTTACTTAAGTGACTTCAGGCTTCTTGTCTTGAAAGTCAGTTAATAGAAGTAATCTTTCATTCCTTAGTTATAGCCAATTACATGTGACAGTCAATTGTATGTGTCAGTATAACCTGGGATCACAATTCTAGAAAGAACAATTTGAAGTAGTTTCCAGATTTCTGAGAGAGGCAGAAATTTATAGTTTTGTTGAACACACTACTTTTAAAATTTTTTTAGAATTACTTCAGTTCTAAATTTATAATTCTGCTTTAAAAAAAAAAAGCAGGACTGTTTCATCTGCATTATTTGTCCTGTAGGTCTTCAGGGAGAGAGATACTTTTTTGTATATTTATAGCATTCCCCTTCCAACAAGCTCTCATAAAACAGACCTACAGGGGATTCTTCTTTAAAGAAAGGATTTTATTTATGTACTAGAAGAAAGATGGTGTTTCATCATGTGTTTAAAAAGTATTTGAAGGAAGCCTCTACATTTTCAGATTGGATCAAATAAGTATTTTTACCGGTTTCTTACTCTGTAACTGGGTTTTTATCCCTTTTCTTTCCTTTTTTTTTTTCTCTTTGCAGTTGGCAGACCTAAAACACAAGTGATCAGTGCTTGTCGGGATGCAATAAGAAGCAACAACTTCAACACACTGTTCAGGATAATGCGTGTGGGAACAGCTTCGTCCTAGGGAGAGGAGCAGCATCTGTGGAGAGGCAGTGATTCCATGCACTGGGCAGATAATGAATGACAAGCAGTTAATTCAGACCCCTACTCCACTGTAGGGTGAAGTAATTACAATGGTAGTGCTGTAGTTAAGTTGTCAGGTGAGAAATACTACACAGACCAAAGCTCCATGAAGAGAGCATCAGAGTTTAAGTGCAGATATGGTATTTATGCAATACAGAAGTTTAAACAGTTATTTTTTATTACAGTAACTTATTTATGTATTTAAATATATTTTGTAGTTAAGGCATTGGTCTTTTCCATTAAAACATAGACTGGCTTGACTGATTTTTTTTCTGATTTAGTTGGGGAGATGTACTGCTAAGCTTATTTGTTGAAAAAATCCAGCTCAAACAACTTCTCTGGTTTCTGCTGCATAGTTCCTTTGCACTTGGACTTCCTGTGCTGTAGAATCCTGGGTTTCACTGCAGGGATGTGTGGCTCTCTAGGTAAACTTCAGAGCAGTGCATGGAAACCACCAAAGGATAACATCTTGCTGGCTCTTTAGCCAGAAGATCTTTGACAGGTATCCAGTTCCATGATCTGTGCAGGTAGGAAGTGGTCTCTTTCATATCCAGCACTCTCCCCACACCTGGATTGCAGAAGGTTTTGCTTCCAGCTATTGGTTCTGTGCTGTTGCTGGAAAAACTGCAGATACTGAGGTGGGCAAGGGTGCATTTCAAGAACAACAAAAACAAACTACACATCCAAGCTTGGTGAATAATCCTGAAGAGCTGGTAGTACTTATGGGATCAAAAGAAGAAGGTATTGGAAAATGACTTGGCTCCTGACTCAACCTGTTTAATTGTGTGATCTCTTAGAATTGGATTAAAATATTACAGTAAGGCTCTATCTCAGATCTAAAGGTATTTTAAATGAACCTTTGCCAAAGCAAATTTCTTGTGGAAGCTGAAACTAACCTGCACAGGATGGAGGTTGAGCCCCAGTGCTCCTGCATCAGCATCACCCTTGCCACCATATGATGGTGTTTGCGACGTGGGCAGGGAGGAGTTCGAAGTTCTTGGGTGGCTTCTTGGGGCTGTCAGAATCATGTTCTCTAACTCGTCTCTCTTACAAGCTTACTACTGAATTAAAACCAGCAACCCCCCCTTTGTTACAGAACCACTGGTGAGCATGGTGTGACCAGCTGAGTGGGGAATGTAATTCTTGCAATATGTTTTATCCCCAAAACTGCCCCTTGCCACTGCCTTGGCCCCTTCCATATGGAGAACTAAGCTGCTGAAAGCACAGACCTATGTCAGTTACAATCTGCAGCAGGAGCTCATTTGAATCCTTTTAAGAAACTGGTTGTTAGTCAAATCCAGCTGCTTGGGAGAAGGGTGGTGAGCCACCCATGCTGTTCTAAGCAAGTGAGCTCAGAGAGTTGATTATGGAACAGTCTCCTGGCATAAGTGCTGGGCTTTCTGCCACTTGCTGTACCTGTTCCTACTGTTTCAAACGCTTGTTCTTTATGTTCAAAATCCTAATGCTTGCTTGCTTATATACTCCCATTTCATGATACGAGAACAAGAGAGTGGCTCTGATCAGAAAGCAGCTTTCCCATCAGTCTGGTTTTCAGGACTATGCACCAGGTACTGCCAATCCCAGCTCTGTTCTGCTCTTGGCAGTGAGGTCACTCCTTCACTTGCTGTCCAAACCTTTGGTAAGGCTGATTTCCCCTAAATTTATGACATGTTGGTAATTTATTTTCCTGTAAAACCAACTTTTAACTTTGCCAAATAAAAAATGCACATACTTTACAAGTAGCTGCACCTAATTGTGAATACAGATTTGTATCCAGCAAGAGCATCTATAGAGAAAGCTCCTATTACTGGTGCTATATAAATGAAGGCCCTTCTTCTTTTAGTAGCTCATGTCATTTGAAATTTTAGTGAATGAAGTCTTTCCTCTGTACCTGCAGCACCAGTCGTGCCTGGGGCTGGCTGTGGCTTTAGGACCTAAGAAGGGCGGAAGAGCAGAGACGTGTTCATTTTTAAACCTTTGAAAGCTAACTGCAAATTTGGCTTCTTAAATTACTTCATCTGAGTCACCAGAGGAAGAAGGGTGTTTCCTTGTATGATCAGGTAGATAGGGACTTGCTCAAGCAGAGGCTGGTATGCCCTCTAGTGTAATACTTATTATTAAAAAGCAGCAGGCTCTAAAGAGCCTGACTTCTTCCCAGTCTTCTGGAAGGATGTTCCAACATCTACCAAGCACATTCTTAAGCTCACAATGCAGTCAAAGAAGTAACTTTGTTTTGTTAATGAATTTACTCCCAACTTTGCCTAGCAGACTATACTCTGAATAGCTGTGGTGTCTGTCACTTTTGTTCAAACTACCCAAATAATTTTGTTTTTTTTTTTCTTTGAAACCTCCATTACTTGTCTCTTTCTAGGGGGAGAGGTCAGAATAAGAACTGCTTTCTTCCCAGGAAGAGCTACTGCCCCAGTAGGCAGAAAAGTACCTCAGAAGCCATGATTCAGAGAGTTCTGTCCTCACTTCAGGATTTGTTTCTAGCTGCAACCCCTTGTCTTTTTTAAGTGGCAAAGGAAGATTAAAACTGAGGAAGAAAGTTCTGGCAGTGCACAGAGATGCTGGCTTTGGGAAATGAATTGGAATATGAACAAGGTCTTGCAACAGCACCTCGGGGCAACCACCTCCCAGCTGTCCTTCCTGCCAAACACAGCATGAGGGAATAGCTAGAAATGAGCAACTGCTCATGGTCTGGGCTGGGACTGACACTGGAGCTAGAGTCCTGCACAGTGCTTTCTAACCCCTTGCTCTGGCACCTGTGGGGGCTGAGATACCTTTCCCTTTGGAAGCAATGGCAGGGGTTCCTGCCAACTGCCTCAGGGATTCGTTTTTAGAACTTCGTGTATTGGAATCGAAGCTGAAGGTTGTTGCTCCTGTATCTTCATGCAGACATGCCCACAGGACCTCCCACCCGCTCAGGAAAGGGTGCAGAGTACTCTTGTCAACAGTGAGCCTTGCTTTGAGTTTACTGCTCCTGTGCTGCCAGCTGTGGTCTTACACCACTGCGGTGCCCTCCAGCAACAGGCTTGGACCGGGAGAAGGAGCAGACTTTAATCCAAAGCTACCCTCTCCCCACCCATGAGAGACAGGAGCAATGAAACATGCACACTCCCCAGCTCACTGCAAGCCTGTGGCCTGCACTGTCTGGCTTGCATGAGCTGAAAGAACACCTGTCTCTCAGTGCCATACAGTTTCAGGCAAGCAGGTGCAGGTCAGGGCCAAGCCTCCAGCAGGGCGTTCTACACTCTGGCTGGGTAGCCAGAAGCATTGGTACAGCTCTGCTGCACCTCTTGGTGGGCAGGACACCTCAGAGGTGAAGTCCTGCTTGCAGTGAATGTGAGGCAGGTGCACAGTATTCAAAATAGAAAGGAAAGGCCACACTCACTGCCTTTCTTGCAGTGTTTACCACAGGATGTGGCTGGCTGCTGCCTCAAAACATCTAAGCTGATCTCCAGTGACAGAAGTCACCTTAAAACCCAGCAGATCCCAGGATATAACTAAAAGGACACAAGGCCATGTTGTTTGGGTGACCTCCTTACTACCTGTGGACACCAAGCCAGTAAAAGTTGTCTCATTCTTGCTTCCAGTCCCTGGCCCCTGTTCTAAGGCTAGAGCTCAGAGCTGTCTGCATACCCACACAAAGAGTGTATGCAGGAGCAAGTTTCTTTTTGGATATTGAGCTTATAAATTCTTTGGAAAAAGGGCTGCATCTAGGTCTTTCTGCACAGCATTTAGCATAATAAACTCCTGATCCTTTTTATAGTGCCAAGTCCTTCCCAATGCTTTTATAGCCTCACTGTCTTCCTTCTCAACTCTACAGAGTTGTGCAGCTGGAAAAACCTCATATTTCCCATGGCAGCTCCTTTATTTTTGTCTTAGGAACACAGTTAAATCCCACAAAATGTCCTGGGCATTTTGTAACAGAACTTGTCTGACCAGTGTATGAAACATTTAACTGACCCATGTCCTTTTTTTTTTTTTTTTTTTAATAAAAAAATTGGTCAGCAGCTTGGGGCAATGTACAGTAATTCTCACCCTGATGGATCAGAGATGCCACTGTGCTGCTCCCGTGAGAACAGCTGGAAAGTTGACAGTTGAACAGTTGTGTGACAGCCTCACCAGCAGAGCATTAAAAGCAGCTGAGAGCATGATACAATTTCCATTTTTGCAGTTAAAAAAACCACCTATCCCCATATTATGCAGTATGATGGAGTTGCACGAGCAAAATTTGTCTGTGCTTAGGTCAGAGCTGAACATCTGGGTGGGAACCTGCCCACCATCCACCACTGTTCTCTGTGACAGTGGTCACACTGCACCATCACTCATAATAGACAAAGGAAAAATCCCAAAATCCTGTTCTGTTTGGATGCTTGTTCAGGCGTGCCAAGCTTCGATGGTTGATGTATTTCACAAACTTCATAGTTTCCTTGTCTCTGTAAACTAAGGCCAAGCAGTTGTCCTCTGGATTTACTGTCAACAGCTAGAGGACACAAAGATAAGGAAGGAATTCAGTTTCACAAAAATAGTTTTGATAAAATTCTTAAGGAAAAACAGAACAGTTTCAAAAGTGAGTTAGAACAAAGGTCTGGTGTTAGAAAATGAACTGTGACACTATTTTCATTTTAATACCCTTTACCTGAAGCATTGTTATACATTAAGGGCTTCTTACTAGTATGACTGCTCAGCACTGTCACTAGTACAGATGCTGAATGTGACCCCAGTGAAGAACATTTCCCTGGAAAAGTGTTATCCCTGCTACAGCCTTGTGTCCCTTCAAGGCAGGCTTCCCAAACGGCCCCTAATGCAGGTGCTATGAAGCTCTCTCAGGGCCCAGGTCTCATGCTTCAGGTGAACAGCAGCCTCTTGAAGCTGAGGCCAGAGCTTCACCCACGAGCAGTGACTGAGGCAAGGAGGCTCCTGTGTGCTACTGAGCACCCTCAGCATTATGTTGGCATTATGACAAAGTGTAATTATGTCTCTCCACCCTAAATAATTATATCTGATTTGCAGCTAACAACTGAGGTTCTTACCTCTTCATCTTCACCTTTAGCAATGTAGGAAGTAAAGCCACCATATTCAGGATCCCAGTCTTAAAATAGAAAAGAAAGGCTCTTAGAAACCTCAGTGCTGTCCAGGCTCCATGCAGCCTTCCAGGAGATGCCATTTTTTCATCCCACTCCCCAGAGTTACTGGATACAGCAAATGTACTGATTTGCCATTTATGGTAGATGGGCTATTTAAAGTTGGTGCACTGCTTGTCACTTGCAGAACAGTTCTGCCCTAGCAGATATGCCAAAGAAATTCAGTATAACTGCATATGCCAGATGGTTTCAGCTGCACATTCTGGCCTCATCTGGTCTAAAATGCTGGTGTTTAGATTTTTTAATTTACCACTATCTAACTAGCAATCAACCCAAAATGCCTAGACATGGCTAAAGTAACTTTTGAAAACCCTGGGCTTTGTGAATTGGAGGTGTAGTGATAATTCTGATGAGGAAAGGGGTGGAACACTCCTGACCTGACTCCACCTGACCCGCCAGCGTGCCCAGAGCCATTGTGAGCCATTGCTAAGGACAGGAACGGTTGGAGAGGCTCAGCCTTTCCCTCTGTCCAAGCGCCACCTCCTGGCACAAGTGGGAAAAGCCAGAGATGATTCCAAGGCCACAATCCCAATCCTTTGCATGAGGACTACTGAAACCAGGGTTTATGCCGAAGTGAGGACTAGGACAAAGTCTACGGACACCTTCTATGTAGGAAAATGGAGGGAAATTTTGGCTGTTTTAGCACTGCTGAGAATTCAGAAGTCATTCCTTTATCCAAACATTGTAAAAGGAGAGTCTGACATCTCTCTCTCATCCACTTACCTTCACAGCCACAGAAGAAGAGCAGGTCAAGAGCAAATTCTGTGGCTTGAGAGTCATGGACAAGAGTGTAGTGCCCGTGGGTCCAGCGTCGCAGCTCCCCCGCACACACAGGGGTGCCCGAGCCTAGGAAAGGCACAAACACGTGATAAAGCCACATCAGCTGGGCTCAAAGCATGTGAGGAGTTCAGTGATCTCACACCACTGTGAAATTGTCTGCTGGCCCCAGAAAAAAGGATAAAACCACAGATCACGTGTCAATACCTTTCCTAGAGGTGACTCTAGGTTAAGTGTGTAGGAGTGGGACCAAGATTTGCTCCATACAGCCTTCGTGCCTGGTGTTCTGGAGGGATTTTTTCAGTAGGACTTGTCTTTTTATTACCTTTTATTCCAGTGTCCACTAACTTGCCTGACTTAGTGCAGGATGAGCACTTTCAAAAACTCTACCCTTAAACTTCAGAGCCACTGTTTTAAATAAACATCACCAATCAAAATCCAAAATTAATCTAATCTTTGATAGTTGTCACTGCTGACAACTAAGTGGTTGTTTAGGCTGACAAGTGTTTTCTGAAAGGTTGAATCCTAGTTTTAGCTATCAATTTTCTAATTTTATAATTAGTTTACTTCTGACCTGCTCACCTTTCTCTTTTGGATTTATTATCTCATACAAGAATATGCTTTATATGAGGCGGGGATATGTGGATGTAACTACTGACAAAAAGTTAACAGCCCCCCAAAAGTCTCAGCCTTAAGACTTAGGTCTGTTCAAAATGCTATCTTAATATTAGTCATTGATTTACTCCAAATTCTTTTGCAATGGTGACTGACTACAGATAATCAATCTAATATACTTCAAAGTCCCATGTTTGTGCTGGTGCCTTGTGCTAGTTGCAGTACAAGGTGAAACACTAGTTCCATTAAAATCACTTTGAATTTTGTTTGAATCCTTTCACACTGCTGCTGCTCTACTCACTGCTCTGTGTCTCGTCGTCCTGTGCTTCAGGGGTGTTCTCAGGCTGGTGTGGCTGATGGGGATTGCCATTAGCTGGTTGTTCAGTCTCTGCCTGCTCAGGTTTGGAACTGCTGTGCCCAGTGGTGTCTGCTGCTTGTCCCTCCCCAGCATCTTCATCCTCATCAGAGGGAGCCAGGAAGTGCAGTTTTAGGCCAGTGAAGTTGGAAAGCAGTAAAAATAAGGCCTCAGAGCGTAGCAGCTGCAGGAATTTCTTCAGGGTGTCAGGGAGGCTGTCTTCCTCTGCTGCCTCATAGAGTCTGAAAGACAGCAGATGTATCTCCTTGTGGGAGAGCCAACAGGGACCATGTCCAGAGGGACAATATTGACCAGTGCAGCCTCATGGCAGCTCCTACTCAGCCTGATCACCAGGTGCAGTGCACTGTCATTCCCCACCTTTTATTGGCTGGCCCCCGACTACTCCACTGGATCTCTTTCTTCTCCAATGCTTCACATAGTAGCTGATATTTCTCTTTCTAGGAGAAAGAGAGGCAGGAATGTTAACCTTTAGCTCCCAGGAAAAGAAGGTTGAAGACAAATGCTTCATTTTTGCTGAGTCCCCATGCAGCAGTGTACAGGCAGTCAGAGGGGATCATTCCACAAAATCAGAGTGGCTGAGGTTGGAAAGGGCCTCTGGAGGTCACCTGGCCCATTCCCCTTTAGGTGTGAAACTTAAGAGTGTTTTAACAGATGTGCAAGCAAGGCCTTTCCCAGCCTTCATGCCATGTGTGGTACCTGCCAGCCCTCTGACCAGTTCTGGCAGATCACTCCAAATTGAACCAATGGGCTCACCTTAAGAAAGTCTTTCAGGAGAATTTCTGATCGCTCCTCAAATTCCTCCTGGATTTGAGCTTGGGAGTCCACATCCAAATAAACTGGATTGATCCACTCATACAATATTTCATGCTGGAAGGGAAATGGATTAGAACACTGAATTTTCAAAAGTGAAGAAGATTCCCCAATTTTCCCTACCAAGCTGGCCACAGGGCTGGATTCCTACACACAAACACACTCCATTGCCTTATTTCATTGCATCACAGGTATTCACCACATTCTCTGAACTACTGTAGGTATGCAAAACATACAAAGATGCATAAGAAACTGGATACAAATATGGACAGGAAACGAAAAGGAGAATGGGATAAAGATTAAAGCACCCCCATTCCCTAACAGGTATTACAGGAACAGGACAGAGACAGAAATGCAGACATGCAGATATGCAGATGTAAGCTTGTTACTCACATCATAGGGGATGTGTGGGCTCCTGGCCAAGGGGGCTTCAATGTGCCGTGCAGGTCTGGCCACAGAGGGGCCGTGGAACCAACCACTCACTGACAGGCGGCACTTCTGTGACAGAACCTCTGACACCTGCAACAACGGCAGCAGCACAGCATGGCTTAGACAGGGAGCAGGTGGAACAAGTACCATGCAAACTCATCACAGGAGATGGACTGGGCTCCAGAGAGCCCACTGCACCCACAGAAATGTCAGACAGGGCTAGACCAGGACAGATTATCAGATAGAGGCCTATTGTCCTGAAGTCCATTGCAGGTTTCCAGAACTCCAGTCTTTTACTCCAAGCTCAAGAGAATCCATTCTCTCTCTCCCTCTGGGAGCTTTGAGTCATGGATTTTTAAGACAAATCACTACCTGAAAACAATCTGGGCAGTGACCAAGTAGATGCTGCTGTTAATTAACAACTGTAAGACATGAATGACACAAAAATAACCCCCTAAGTGGCCTAGGTTAGGACATGCCCAATCTATCTCACTGATCCTCTCCAGCCTTCTGTTCTCTGGCCCCGTTTGATACAGTCCCTGGTACTCTCAGGTACACAGGAGTGTCAGATTTCAGTCAGGTGTTTGTGTCAGACAGATCCCCAAATTATTCATCTTGTTCCCAGGCATTTTCCTGACAAATGTCACAGAGCACTCCTTAACAGTATCAGCATTTCTGCTGCAGGGCACTGCACCGTGTCTGTGTCACTGAGGGGGTACAGCCAGATCTGCACAGTGCCCTTGCACTGTTGGCAAGGTGACGGATGGCTTGAGGAGCTGTTCTGGTGCAGAGTCATGACCACCACATCAAAAATGTGAGCTAGCTTAAAACAAGCCAACAAACAGAAACAAGTGAGAGCCAAATTCACAGTGTGGCTTGCCGTGATAGTAACACAAAATAAAAATGGAAATTTTTCTTTCCCAGGATGATGCAGCTAGACTGATAGTTTAAAGTTGGCTTTGTTGGTTCTTGTCCTCCTTAAAGTCCTTGAAGCCCTCTCTTTAGCACACAGCACTTAGCATGAGCATCCACTCTACTCACAGTTCTTCCCCCTCCCCATAGGGATTATAATAATACACAGGATAAATAACCACAACAATGAAGATGAAAAAATTAACAAGAGACAGTTCCTTGCCTGGTGGAAAGAGACTGGAGACACTTCAAAGAAAACCAGTGTGTTCCATGAAGGCACTAATGACTTGGTGATTTGCTGTGGCTGAAAGTGTTCTGAGGAAGAAAACATACTCTGGTTAAGGTATGAACTGGAACTTCTCTCTGACTTCATGACTCTGTGACTGGTGGGACACCTGGGCATAAAGGATAGAGCTCAGAGCAAGGGCTTGGTGAGGAATTAGTGCACCTCTGCTTGGAGACAGGGAAGAGAGAGTTGGGGCTGTTCAGCTTGAAGAAGGTTCTGAGGCAACCTAAAGCCTTTTCCAGCACCAAAAGGAGCTACCAAGAGTGCTGTAGGACTTGGGACAGACAAGGGCATGGAATAACAACAAGGGAGAATGGCTGCAAACAAAGAGTGGGTTTAGATTAGCTATTAGAAAGGAATTCTTTACTACAAGCAGTGAGGCATTGGCATAGGCTGCCCAGAGAAACTGTGGATGCCCCATGCTAGAAATGCTCAATAGAGTTTGCAGCAATCTGTTCTAGCCCTGCCTACAGAAGGCAGGCTGTAACAAGATGAGCTTTAAGATCCCTTCCAACCCAAACCATTCTGTGGTTATGCTGCTGGGAAGTTACCATCATCAGTCTGGAGTTCCAAGCACATTTACTGGCATTGCTTCCATCTTTCTGTATTCCTGACCCTTCCAAAAGTTTGTCTGCTGTTAGCACTGTCTGCAAAGCCTGCTAAAGCCCATCCCTAAGGGGCACATTTTACTTATACATGAGCTTCTCTGAACAAAGAGAAACTCTATCTCCCTTCTACCATTTGAGGTGAGAGCTGCTGCAAGAGGCACATAAGCTTCATCTTTTTCATCCACCTGAGGCTGAGCTTGGAGCTTTTACCATCTGTGCTGTAGAGATCCAATGTTCCCCCATCAGTTTTCTCCCAGGGTGGGACGAGGTATAGGATGAAAGCGATTCTCCGACCTTCCAGTTCATCATCGTGGCATAGCAAGACATCTGCAATTACACACGTTTTGCTGCTGAAGCATCTTTCAACAACTGTTTCCCAGCTTTGTCCTCCCAAGGATATGATAAGAAAAAACATGTTCTTTCCAAGAACTGCATTTTTGCTCATCATCATCACCACCCCGAGATCTGCAAGATTCACTTCTGTGGGACTGCATTGCAATTGACAGATCAGGCCACTCAGAAGGTACAGGCAATTACACACCAGCAAAAGTTTTTTCATAATTTGTACTTCATTTTCAGACACTGCTTTGCTGCTGACAGCCTCTGAGACCCTCTGGAACTAGAATAAAATTAGGTACTCTATAGACATTTTGTTCCCTACACATGCACAGAAGCTTTAGAGAAAGGATCACTTATAGACTGACCAGTATATTCATATTTAGCACAGGATATGTCAATAGTTGGCTCCAGCACTATCTGGGTCACAGCAGAAAGCCACACTTGGAATTCTTCACACAGAGCATGCCTGAGAAGATAAGCATACAGTAAGCGTCCTCTGGTGTTATAAAACATACCATCATAGACCAAACTAATTTATTGTCTCCCTGCCAAACAGTTACAAGTGCTGTTGCTGGGAGTGACAGTGTGTTCCTGTAGAACCAGATAGGTGCTGGCCAGGAAAACAGCCCAGTGTTCACAGCATTACTGGCAATAACCAGCAGCAAGCACGCAACTAGTCGGAAAGTGCACTGGGAAACGTTTCAGAGGTGACAGATGCAGCAGAGCTGAGTACGGATGAAAGCTGAACAGACTTCAGTGCCCATGACAAGCACACAGCTGATTCAGCGCTCCAGGGCCGGTTTGTGGCCCCAGTACGGGGGCAGAAGGCGGCCACGCCGCGGGCCCACCCGCAATCGCCTTCCCCGTGGAGCCGCCACAGCTCTTCCCCACATGTGAGCGGGAAAAGCCCCGAGCCTACGCTTTACCTCAGGGCGGCGATGTGGGGCTCCGGGCTTGCCCCCAGCTCCTCGGACTGCGGCGGCCCATGGAAGAGAAGAAGGGACGGGAGTTAGGGTGGTTTGGTTCGGCTCGCCCCAGCCCAACTCGGCCCGGCTCAGCTCGGCCCTGGGCCCACCTGCCGCAGCGAGAGGAGGTCATTTCGCCGCCCGCGGAAGCCGAGACCCAGCAGTTCATCCCGCAGCGCCTCCGCGAAAGCTGAGCCCGCCAAAAAACCGGGAATGACACCGTGCCGGAACGGGGCCGGCTCCAGCACCACCGCTTCTACAAGGGAAAGGCCGTCGGTGAGGGGCGGGGAGCCGGGCCACGCCGTACCGTGCCGGAGCCGCTCCCCGCGGGCCCGGCCGGGCCGTACCGTGCCGGAGCCGCTCCCCGCGGGCCCAGGCCGCCCCCGCGCGCTCCCGCAGCGCCGCGTCCCCGAGGGCCGCGCAGAGCTCGGCGCGCTCCTCGCGCCTCCCGCGCTTGGTCGCCGCCGGCGCTGCCGCTCCGTGACGCTTGGTGGCCATGGTACCGTCCGGACTACAACTCCCTGCGGTCCCCGCGCTTCGCCCGCGGTGGCCAATCGGATCGCGCGGCGGCGGGAAAGGAAGCCGCTGGCCAATGAGCGAGGAGAGGCGGGGGCGGAGCGCGGTGGGTCCCGGCAAGCGGCGCGCGGCGCTGAGGGCGGGTGTTAATGGCGGACGCCGCTCCCGCTGCCCAGAACTGATTGACCGCTCCCGCCGCCTGTTCCCGCCGCTTTTCGCCATGTCCGTGGTGCCGCCCAACCGCTCGCAGACCGGCTGGCCCCGCGGGGTGAACCAGTTCGGGAACAAATACATCCAGCAGACGAAGCCGCTCACGCTGGAAAGGACCATCAACCTGTGAGCGCCGCCTCGGGCCTGCCCGGCTCTACCCCTCCCGTTCCTCCCCGCTGGCGAGTTCGTCCCCGTTCCCTCAGCAGGCTCGGCGGGCTTTTCCCTCAGTGCCCGCCGTGCGAGGTCCGGAAGGTCCCGGCCCTTCGGAGGGCTGGGGGCACAGCGCTGCAGAGCCCGAGTGCCGATGGGGGCCCGCCCCCCTCACAGGGGCTGCTGAGCCGCGCTGAGGGTACCGAGAGCTTGCCGGCCTTCGGGGGAGTGTGGAATATTTGTGCTTTAGTGCTTAGAAACAGCGTCTGGCTCTGGAGGTGTGAATTTCAAGTAACACAGGGAAGGTTTAGGTGTGTTGAGCATCACAGACGTTTTCGCGCTCTCACAGGCATCCAGAAAGCCGGCAGAGAGAGACAGGGCTTTTTCTTGGCCTCGCTGGGATTTAGGCTGACCCTGGGCAGTCTGTAGGATGTGGCTGGTTGTGCCTGGTGTTTGTGGATTGTCTAGTACAGGTGTTGGAGTTAAAATTCAGAGTGTTTGCTACCACAGAAAATCGTCATAGATACAAACTACTTACTAATAAGTATTCATGTATTTTTTATGAGAAGTCATATATTTTTGCTTCTTCAGTAAACTGGTGGATTTGGGACGTGTTCTTTGCTATGTGCATCTGTCAAGTTGCTAAATCAGCAAGTGTTAGCTGCAACAGTCAATATTCAATTTTAGCTATTAGTCACTGACACTTGTGGGTTTTTTGGATGTATCTGAATTTATTAATTGTCGTGTGAAAGTTCAAATATGAACTTCAGGAATTGGAATATTTCTATCAGGTTTCTGAAGCAAAGACTCATCATGAAGGTGTGTTATCAGCAGCATTTTTTAAGGTTGAGGCTGAGGGTTTTGATGTACAGACTAATGCATCTACATTAGTATAGCATGGGTTAGTACAATAGCTTATTATTAAAGCCATTTGTTTATCTAAAAATGGAAAGAAATGGAATAAAAATGTAGGTGGTTTTAAACAATAAGTGAAAGTGAGGGAGCTTGTTAGTAAATGAATCTGTGGTTTGGAAACTGGCTCACTTGTCTACATGAGAAAAGGCTCTAACAATGTCAACTGCCTTGTTATTTTAACCAATGTAAAACATATGGAAAATTGGAGGAGGAGGGGGGCTGGAATTTGATGAGGGAAGAGTGTATGCTACTAAAGTTTGACATGTTTGAGGAAAGAGTCCATGTCAGGAAGCATCTCAAGGAAAACATAAGATCAGTCATTCATTCTGTTAATTTAGTTGCTGTGTGCCACAACTCAGTAAAATCATGGTAATAACTCATCACTGCTCTGCCCAGAACTATTTTCTTCTCCCTTTTGACTTAGCTGGGTGATTCTGTCTTTCCTCTAGGTCTCCTGCCATCAGCCCTCTCTGTTACATAAATTTAATTGTACAGTAGCACTCCCCTGTTGCCCTCTGTGCTGTCTCGGACTGTGCCATTTCTTGCTAACCTTTCCCTTCTTTTCTGTTTTCAGTTCCTCTTACCTGGAGAAATCGCTGAGTTTCTGCTGCACTGTCACAAGAGTGACAGCCCAGCACCAGCCCAACAAAGGGATCTGCCTGCTCAGACTCTTACCCCACGCTCCCAACCCTGTAGTCAGAAACTCAGCATTTCTCCTCTTCTGTGATCCACATGTCTGATTTCCCACTTCAAAACAAAACCACTTCTAACAGTTTAGTTTTCAGGCTCTCATTACATCTGCAGAAAAAAACCTGCAGTCCTGTGCCGCTTCCTTCCTTCCAGCAGAGCTTTTCCTCCAGTCTCTTTTCCAGCTCCTTTCAGAGCTTCAGCTGCCTTTTCCCTGCAGTGTGGAAATCAAAGAGGGTGGCTGTTGAATGACAGTAGTTTCTGTGCTTCTTTTCCTTCTTTTGAGCCTGCACTGGGCTAGAGTGCAACTCAACGGGACTATCTGTGTGTTCCATAGTGCAGATCTCCCTGGGACAGGGGCCTCATAAGCCACCAACAAAGATTTTAGCCCTGCACTATGACTTACCCATCAAGCAGTGAAGGATCTGTGTCATGGGGATTTAAAGTTAGATTTCTCGTTATGCAGTAACATTTTTTTCTTCTCCTTATAGGTATCCTCTGACAAATTACACGTTTGGCACAAAGGAGCCTCTGTATGAGAAGGACAGTTCCGTGGCAGCTCGGTTTCAGCGCATGAGAGAAGAGTTTGACAAGATTGGCATGAGGCGGACAGTGGAAGGAGTTCTGATTGTGCATGAGCACAGGCTGCCCCACGTGCTGTTACTGCAGCTGGGTACAACTTTTTTCAAGCTGTAAGTGTCTGTTTCTTAAGTGTAACTTCAGTTTATTGTCACAGACCACTAAACGTGGGCTAGAAGTTAAACTGTGGCCAACTGCTCAATGTTTTGAATGGGATTCATTGCTTGTAAAGACTTAGTCTGGGAAGTATTTTTTGAATGGTGGGATTTTTAATCTAAAGTGTGTTTGACTGTGCTGGTGAGGGGATGATTCAGTTTGGAACTGAGTGGGAATCTTAGTTACAGTGCATCACTAGAGTAAAATCTTGTTTAAAACTCATTGTCAGCAGTTGGTGTGTTGTACCTCCATTATGAAAGCTGTTACGCTTCTGTAGCTTACACTATGCCTATAAAAATGGGCAAGTGGAGGTCAAGGACTAACCCCCTGTAAATGCAGAATGATACCTGTTTACAAACTAATGGCTGAACTGGGATAGTGAGAAAGGTAGGCATCTAAATTTGAGAAAATTGCTTGAGTTCATCTCACGGTTATGACAGCCAGAGTAAAGTTTTAGTATTTGAATATGGTTGTAGTGATTGTGGTGATTTTCTTTTTTAATCTGGATGGCCTTGACTTGTCTCATGTTACCATGCTTGTGTTCTTGTTCTTCTGTTCTAACATTTTATATTGTTCTCAATTTTGTGTGTGTATTAAGTATAATTTTACATCTAGATTAGTTTTTGATAATCTTGATTTGAAGGGTTGTTGCCGACAAACTAGGCAAGACTGTAAATGATTTGCAAAATGCTGTAATGATGAAAATGAGTAATCCTGCATAATTTTCCCACATGAATTTTATTTTCTACTTTCTGTATGCTTCACTGAGTGCTGGTTTTGTGATAAGAACAAATACAGGCAGTATTTACAGCCTCTGATTATTATTCAGCTTCTGATTATTATTGTTAAAACTTTACCCTATAAGGGTTCCAGTTATTATCATGCGTATTGTTATGCTTTGTCCTGCTGAACTGCAGGTATTTTATGCAATGGTTATTTTTTAAGGGACATAAATTGCCATTTTAGTTTCAGTTTCGGTGAAAACTGCTGCTGTCTTCAAATTCAGCAATGCTAGATCTGGAACTTTTGACTAAAGAGCCATAAGTGAATTTGTAACTCCCTATCTGGAAGCATACTGGAACTTTGGTGGAACTTCACATATTGTGAAGATTGGTAAATGCAATAAAATAACTTTAGTTTTCATCACTGATTATTTTAACAGACCTGGTGGTGAACTGAATCCAGGAGAAGATGAGGTAGAAGGGCTCAAACGCTTAATGACAGAGGTCTGTTTTCTTCCATTATGTTGCTATAGCAGAATTGTTGCATTATTTTAGGATTACCAGAATAAACTGAAGCATTAGAGTAGTCTTCTTACCACTGTTGTTATTTTGTTGCTTTTGTGATGTTCTCAGGTAGTTAACAAATAAAGCAGTCAAGTTTTCATTTATCTGCATCATGAGTGTGGCTGACTCCTACCTGCTGCTCAAGTCCTGTGTTCATTTGCAGCTTTGCTTTCTGACTGGCTTCAGGCAAGTGAGTGTAGAGATGAGCAATAAAATATGTGGTGGAGGACAACTGATGGGGACTTGCCTTTGAGCTAATCCTCCCAATGCACTATTTTCTCCAAGTAGCTAAATTAATTCTGCTAGATAATGTAATGATGCATTTCATTCTGCCCACTGGTCTG